GGTGGCAGATGACAGAACAAGGAGCAATGGTCTCAAGTTGCAGTGGAGGAGGTCCAGGTTGGATATTAGGAAAAACTATTTCACTAGGAGGGTGGTGAAGCACTGGAATGAGTTACCTAAGGAGGTGGTGGTCTCCTTCCTTGGAGGTTTTTAAGGCCCGGCTTGACAAAGCCCTGGCTGGGATGATTTAGTTGGGAATTAGTCCTGCTTTGAGCAGGGGGTTGGACTAGATGACCTCTTGAGGTCCCTTCCAACCCTGATATTCTATGATTCTAAGAAGTGCTTAATTTGTGCTGGGGCTGAATCCCAGCATCTTTAGGCTTGGAAGTTCATATCCCCTGCTCCTCTGGGCTCCTGGCCAGTAGCTGCTGCTCTCCAGCTACCCAGCTCTGAAGACAGTAAAGGTGGCAGTACCATACCATGTCACCCAGACTTCTGCCCTGCTGCTGATGACAGCACTACCTTCAGGGCTCGGTGCCCAGCCAGCAGCCGCCGCTCTCCAGCCTTCCTGTCAGTGCTTAATTTGTGCCAGGTTTGCCCCCACAACTCTTTCATTACAAATTAAGCACTACCAGTAAGTTATTTACTAAGGAAATCATAGGCAAATGATAGGTAGTGTATCACTGTTCATGAACTTAATTATAAAATTTTTTAAGGTGAACTGGTGGGCCACACCGGAAGCCTTGGTGGGCCATATTTGGCCCACGGGCCACCTATTGGGTATCACTGCTTTAATCTATCTATGCACTTGCCATATGCTGGTATTCTGGGCCCTGCCTGACCACCAGCAAAAGTTGAAGCAGCCTCAGGGCTGCTCTAATTTATGCTAATTTCTGATGGCCACCTATAGGTTTCTCCTGGAAATAATTTTCTAAGGTCTGTGCCAATTTGATATTCATTGAAAGCCAGGGTAGAGCCAGGCATAATGCAGGCTGTGCAGCATAGTTCTGCCCGTGTCCCATAGAAAAACTTTCCTAAAGAATCAATCCTGACTTGATTTCTGAACAGAGACCATGAATCATGCTGGGTAAGGGTCTACTCCTGCTGCCACTGAAGTCAGTGAGCTTTAACATTGACTTTACTAGGAGCAGAAGCAGGTTTTATATAAAACATGGAACAAGTTAATTGAATTCTAAAACCTAGTCTTTGACAGTAATTCAGATAAAGCAAATTAAGACTCCAATAACTTTTTTTTACAATAAATGTAACTTCAGAGACTTACCCCCCTAAAACACTCAGGGCAGTATATGCACTCATAACCGGATTAAAATAAAATCTTATTAGTCCAATACATATTGTGCATCTCATTCAAAAAAGATTCACAATTTTGTCATTTAGAACTATATGGAAATCATGTAAAATGAAAATACTGAAGGGGAGAAGGGTTTAGATTTAAAAAAAAATTTAAGGTCAATGCACATATTTGCATGTGATGGAATATGAAAGATCTTTTCTTAATGAAAGGACACCATGGAAGTACAGGAATAGCTTCACTAATATGCACTGTAATAGACAATCTCTGTCTCTCTCTCACACACACACACACACACACTCTCTCTCTCTCTCAACCTCCTCTCCCCCACCTCTCAGAAAGTTTTACAAGGAGATGCTTTAAAGGGGCCTCATAGTACAATTTTTAAAAATTACGCTATTGTTCATATACTAGTGTTCTCATAGCATAATTAAACCTAAACTGCAGTTGATAAATTAAATGAACAAACACATTTTATGGTTGTATCACCCTTGTTTTTTGCTATAGTGCAAAATGCAGTCAACCATAGTGGGTCTCCCAGTCAGTGTGAATTTCCACTTTTCTTGCTTAAAAGGAAAAACAAACTAAAAAATATCAAATCAAACTTCTGCACAAGACAGAAATTACCTATCCCCGCTCTTATAAAGCTTCCCATCATTTTCCTTTTTTGGGTGGCTCTAAAGTTTTTCTTTGTTTCAAAGCATTCACTTTAGCTAGAAACAATAGATTATGGAGAGATCATAGTTAAGAGTTTCATTATAAAGCTGATTTTAACATCCACACACCTCGGTAACTAATTTTGGAAGTTTAATTGACATGGAGGCTATGTCTGCCACTAATTCTGAAGTACACTAATGACAGCCAAAGTTTAAAAATCATGTCTTAAAATGTTAGCTAAGATTGGGATTTTATAACAAGTTATTCAGCTGGGTGCCTAACATTGAAGGTCTAATACTTACATCCTATCTTATGAATGCAATCCAATTTTAAGTCAGTATTTGCAGGGAAGTACATGTTCCCCGGGCATAGGGTACCCAAGCAATGAGACAAAAGAAGCAAAAAAGTTTGCTGCATGCGGGGGGTCTGGCACTGAATCCGGCTGAGGAGAAAAGAAAAACAAACAAACATGTTGACAGTATTTTCACTGTCAAACACAGATGGAGAAAACTTTATATGCAAGCCCTTTTGACATGGAAAAACTTCCATGCTGGTGATCTTGAGTCACTTTAAGTGAATTGACTCCTATGATTGTGGACTTCAAACAAAAGAACACACGCACTGAATAATCCCCATTTTCTTCTCCTGAGAGAGAAACAGAGTCCATAGAAGTTGGTCTACAGCCCATCCCTGTCCATGAAATGTTTCTCAAATCCTCAAGAATCACTATCGAAATCAGAATCTCAAAGGATGCAGGCCGTGTGGTACTTCTAAGATGAGTGTTGTTCTGTACTGAACGTTCAGGCACTATGTGGATTACAGCAGATGAGAGGAAATATAGACTCTATCTGGGACTTTTTTTGAGACAGAGGCGAGTCTGCTGGGTTGAGATAGAGTGAGAGTCAGTTATACTTCAGTTCATTACTACTTTGGCCGCAAAGTTGATCTCTTCACATGTTGGATAATGCACATAAGTCTTTTATCAGGATCTACAGGCAAATGAACAACACACTCCTGGGATGGATTTGGTGGGAGACAGCAATTCTGATCATTAAATACTGGGGGGAGGAGGGGATGCTGTACATCTACCCCCATTCTCAAACCCCAGGCATTTAGCTGGGTCCAGCACAGGGTTATAGGTCTCCCACCATGTAACTAATAACTCAAGGTAGATCCTATTCTGCCTACCCCTTGGGCGCCAGCTACATTTCGTCTCATCCCACAGGGAATAGAGGTTACCAATGCAGGACCTCAGTCCCTGAAGACTTCAGTTCTCCCCTTCTCCTCTAGGCACAAAGTCCACCAGTGAAATCCCAGGTCTAATTTACCTCTGGAAGCCGGCCCTTTTTATCCACACCAGCTGTAAGTTGCAATGAACTAGACAGTCCTATCTTTCCTAATATTAAATTGTCAAGTCGTACTGTGTACAACCCAGCTGTGCCTCCACAGTGCTACAACAGAGGCAAAAAACCTTGGCCATTGGAAAAATTTCTTCCTGAACCCAAAAGAGGCAGTCAGACCCATAGCATCCTGGAAATGTATCTCCTGCACTGCAACTTTGAAAAGCCCTGGAAGAATTTAAATAGATGTGGGAAGAAGGAACCCTTGATCCCAGCCAATGGGGGAGAGGCAGAGAAGAGCCCCTACTCCTGCCTTGCCAAGCATGCATTCTTGCACCCCACCCCTTTAGGCACGGTCTCTCATCCATGCCAATATGACCAACAATCCCTCCTGCTGCTGTTAGGGGTAGCATTACGCACTAAAAATAATTCACTACTACTATTTGATGCACATACTTTGGTTAGATGCCTTTAATAGTGTTAACAAAACATAGCACATGCACGTTTTAAAAAAGATTGTCACCTTTTAAAATGGAGAAAGATTAATGTGTTCTTATGGGCTAAGAACTGTACTTTCAAACTAACCTTGTCTTCATGTACGAGTTAAAGCCTTTAAGAGTATAAAGTAGAGACCTTTGGACAGTTAATACAAAAAAGGCAGATGTTTGTACTTTGTCTGTCTTAAGTAACAATGCATGATGTTTGGACAGATTAGTAGCATGCACTGTTTGGCCAAGGATAAAGTATTGTTTTGATAAAGTTTATTTGAAAAGAATGTTTTCTTGATTTTTTTTAGCAACTTATGAATAATTTTGAAAATTCTGTGCTGGTAGCTGTTAAACAGAATTCTGTTCTAACTAGAGGCTATTTTTTCCCATTGTTCTTTAGTTTCAGGAGATCAGCAATCGGTTATTGAGTTCTTATGACACAAACATAGATGAGTTTTTTTCTGAAATTGATTCTTCTATAGCTGCAAGTCGAAATGTGCTTCAACAGTTGGAGGAAAAGTTTGCCCCGTTAATAAGCGAAACGGAATGGGAGAAAATACAGATGCAGGTTGGTTTTGGAGCCAGTTGAATGATGATCTCAATTCATTTTGCAACTATAGTCATTGTCAAAGCAGGAAAGTTTTTTCCAGCATATCCTCCATCCAAAAAATTCCCTGGTATCATTTGTCAATCTACACCAGTAGTTCTCAAACTTTTGTACTGGTAACCCCTTTCACATAGCAAGCCTCTGAGTGCGACCCCCCTTAAGTTAAAAACACTTTTTAATATATTTAACACCATTAGATACGCTGGATGCAAAGCGGTGTTTGGGGTGGAGGTGGACAGCTCGCAACCCCCCATGTAATAACCTCATGACCCCCTGAGGGGTCCCAACCCCCAGTTTGAGAACCCCTAATCTACACGCTAAAACAATGTCTGCAAACTTTTTTTTAAAAAACAGTATAGTACATTGAAGTTAAACGTTTTGCTACAATAACTATTCTTCGGTTTATGATTACAAATAATTCCTCCTGTGTTCGATAAGAAGGAAAGTAACATTAAAGATATTTCAGAATTATTCTGATGTGACGAGATACAGAACAGGTTTCAGTAGATTAAATATTGAAGGACATACCACCAATTGTTACAAAATGCACTTTGAACCTTCTGGTTGTATAGGGTACTGCTGCGATGCATGCCTTCCAATGTTTAGTTATCAGTCTACAATAACTAATATTTTCTTATTTTCCCCTCAGGCATTTCGGCAAGAGATATTTGACTGCCCTATTTGCATTATGCCACTCTGTCATATCATTCATCCTCCAAATGTCTTTTCTGAGAACAGCAATAATCGGTATTCTCGCCAGACTGTTCTGCTCTCTTGTTCACATATGTTTCATCAGACTTGTCTTCAAGCATTTGAAGAGTTTTCCTTGGGAGAAAGACTTGTTTGTCCTTTATGCCGCTCTTGTTATCAAAAGAAAATTCTTGAATGTTGATGTAAACAGTCCAGAATGAGCTGCATAATAGAATTTTTAATTGGTTTAATGATAGACAACCTCACAGATTAGATCCTTGTAAGGTCCAATGTGAGAAAAAACACTTCTCTATGGATGCTGATGCTCATATTATAGAAATAAAAGTTAAATGGACATTGTGTTACCATTTCTCTGACTTGTTGCTTCTCCTTGCTCTCCACATTCTTACCTGTCTTCTACTCTCTTTGCTTTGCCTTATGTTCTGTTTTCCTTCCCTGGTCGTCTCCTTTCTTTAACTTCCTCCCTCTCAGAGACATACTACCCTCTCCATCTCCTTCACATCCCAGGATCCTTTCCCTGAAAACTCTTCCTTTTGACTCCTTTCTTCATTCAGTGGATTCCATCTACATACTCCCCAGTGGAGTTACTCATGTTGAACACCAGGAAAAGGCAGATTCCCTTGATAGCAGCTCCCAGGCAGTTGCAAATGCCACTGATGAGTGTGGAAGGAGATGCATTACCTCAGCTCCTTTTAGTAGCTGAATGCAGCTGGGCTGGCTCCTCTCCTTTAATGGCTGGAAGCCACCTTACAAGCTCAACTATAGGCAAATGGAAAGTAGTGCAAATTAGCCCTAAAGCAAATGTGGCTGAGCGGTCCCCATAAAGGAACAAAATGGTTCAGGAACTTGTCATGACAGTGGGACCAACTAATATTGTCTAGGTTTAGAAGAGACCAAAATGCATTTAAAACCTTTCAGTTGTGGACTGTTACTCTTGAACTTTGAGTTAAGGCCTAAAATCCCTTGATCAATGTCATGCACCCAGGAGAGCCTGAAAGCTAAACTTTCGTTAAAATGTTTCAGATGCTTTAGGAAACTGACTCACAATGCCGAAAATGCTTGTAGACTGCCCATATTTAAATTAATTGTTTCGTGTCAAAGATTACCGAAAACTACTATTGATAGCCTGTGTATTTTTCCATTAACTAAAAACTAAAATTAGGATACAGGCATGTAAAAGGTACGGGTTTGCTTTTTGATGGTTTTGCTATATGTTTGTCCTTTGCTTTATTTGTGCTCCATGTTTTGGTCCAAAGGGTGTAACGCCTACTGAACCTATCAGGATCTCTGCTACTCCCCAGATACCCTGAACTTCAACAAATGTGTTGATGCTCTCAAGCTCTTTACACACATTAAGCCACCCTCCTACAATGAGGTGGCCTACATATATTATAGAGGAGTAAATTGTGAGGCATGGAGAAACATCTTACAAAGACTCAAAAGTCCATTGTTTATTTTTAATACAAATGTTGACAAAAAAAAGCACATTGTAAATCAATCACAGTTTGACTTTATTGAAAACAGAGTTTAAAAAAATCTTGCTAAAAACACACAAATTGTGACATTTCAAATAAAGCAAAAAGATACCAAATCTTCTCCTTTTCACTACTGCATTGTGAAATTCAAACCATCTAAAAAGGCAGTTTTCATATAGTTTTGTAACACTGCAAGGTAACCACAATTGAAAATTTTATAAAGCACACGTTTTCAGATGACCTAAATTAAATTTACCTCAAGGATTGGGTGGGGAGGATGCGTCTGCTACAGATTGGTAACAATTACTTTAGTGCTAAAAACATTTTTCAGCCATATTTTGCTTTCAAGATACGAGAATGCCCACATACAAAAGTTTTTAGTTAACTAAATTTCTGCAAAGACAGACCTAAATTGGTAATATTGGAATGAAAGAGCTGAACCTGCATGAGGAAAAATGCCCACTAATTAGCTGAACCTGTACTAGCTGAATCTGCCATTGCACTACCATCAGTGCGTATATATGGTCTCTAATGCAGAAAAGGTGGTATTTATATGACCATGTCATCTAACCCTCCTCAGAACATGTCTAGACAACAAAGTTATAAGAATGCTGGTGGCAGTCTGAGCCTTGGGTATCCTCCCACTCATGGTAGTGCAACTGGGTTTTTGCTTTTTAAAAAAGCTTAGCATAGACAAGCCCATTGAGGTCAACGCGTGTTTTGCCTGAGTTGGGAATGCAGGATTAGGCTCCAAATCATTATTGCATATAGATAGAGGAACCTAAACACACTGTATTTTTAGTTTGTGTATATCTATTGCTGTATTGGTCACAGGCTACAATTTTAAATCCACAATCCTAACATATCTTCATTTTCTAAATTTCTATACCAATTGGAACCAAATAAGACAAAATATTTTAAGGTTACCTTTAAAAACTGGGAAATGGTTGAATTTTTTGTTCACAACTTTTTAATTGTACTTGAAACCGGAAGATTTTGTGTAGCTTTTCTAAACTGGGGAAATGCATTAGTGTTAGAAAACATGTTTCAATTAGCATACTGTTAAACAGAATTTTGCCCATAAGCTTTTTAGCACGGCCATCTTATCCACACTAAAAGCAATGTCATGTTTAACCTCATGCTGTCTGAAATGTGTTAGTTTGCATGTTTTCTAAATTTTCTCCAATATAGACAAAGGCCAAATGACACACACACGCAGCATCACTCACTTTTTGGCTTCTAATGGGTAATTAAGGGAACACAACAACAACAAAGTACAGAATAAAACCCTTCATTTCTTGGTGCCATAGTACGTTTGGCTTGGTAATCACAACTGTAAAGAGCTGCTATATATTGATGCACCAACAGATTCATTTTTTATCTCCAGTGAGGTGAGGCATATTCATTAAAAAGGGGCATATTAAGTGACCAGTCTTTATTTTAATGGAATTCTGTGGTGACAACTGAATGACCAAACAGTACTGGTATTTCCATAGTATAAATACTTATGCTAAGAAACCTCATAGGGACTACTGGGGGAGCAGATGGGTATTAAGTACAATCAAAGCTGATGTCCAGAGCTTTCATTCCTTGAAGCAAATGGAAGTGATGAGAGCACGGGGTATGCAGGCTAGAGTCCTAATCATGAAGGAAACCTTATAATTACCTTTAAAAAGTTATTGTGTACAAATTATATTTAATGAAAGAAATAGAAGAGCAGCATGTTGAGATGATTGGTAGAAATATCTAGAAATACAGCATAATTATGTGTTATTTAAAGACATTTTATATAGATACAGATTTTACAAACTTCTCTGTAGACATCTGAATCGTTTTCAAAAATTGAGGTCTCATAACAAAGTTTCAATTTTGATCAGATACAACTTTTAGATTGCTCTGGTCCAAATATGTTGGGCTGAGATCATCAGCATTTACTGATAATACATTTCTTAAAGGATTTTTCTTTTATTACCCTTCAGCCATTTTGCCCAGCTGGAATCAACCTGTAGTATAGTTGAAACAATCAAAGACATTTTTGGTCTCAAATTTAAAGAGAACAAATATAAATCTGAATTATTAATCAAAGTGGCTAATAAAGTGGCTATTAGGAAAAGTCCATAAATGAACAATGAATTAGGCAAGCAAAGGCTGTACAGAATTTAAGATCCTATTTCACCTTTCCTATTTTTAATTAAAAAAACAACTTTGTTACTAAAACATGCAGCTATTCTTACAATTCATAGATTACTGTAATTGAAACCAAAGCCACTGTTCTCCTGTAAAATGCCTTGCAACCATACGTAGATGGTTATTTTGTGACATTTTCTGCAATTCCATTTAACTTAAACACCTGTTTATTATAAGTTAAGGGCCATAGGTTGACATGTACTATTTAATCAAAAATAAAAGCTGAAGACTTATCTGTAAAAGAAAGTACAGCAAGAGAGTCTTTAGTAGGATTGGAAAGTGTTCTAGAAAACAATGGATTTCACGTTTAGACTGCCTGCTAATTAGCACAGGTGTAATTTGATTTCTATATTTGGAGGAGCAGCTCCAGTCAGGCCAATGGGGCCTCGTGTGTATATGGGGGGGAATTCCACACCTGCCTGGGACTTGCAGTTTGGGGGAGGGGAGCAATGCTCCCCATTCCCCCCTCCAAACTATGCCCTTGCTAATTAGTACCATTATACAGCATACATCCGAGTTCTGTTTAGATTCACTCGTTCTCTTATTTCCCATCTTGTCTATCCAGGCAAAGGTGAAAAATCTTATGTTTGAAATACATATTGATGACAGTTTGAAGCCACTGAATGACAGGAAATACTTAAGTACATGAAAAGGAAAAGGGAGTCAAAATGTTAAGTTTTAAGAATGCAGGGCCCAATCCAGAAGAAAGTATCATCTGATTCATAAGTTCCATGTACCTAATGGAAATGTGGGCTTCTGTTACATGAAAACTCTGTTTTGGAGGTCAGCCAGGAAGAGGTAAAAAGACCATTCACATTGTCATCACTGGTAATGCAGAAGGTACCAAAACCCTGCAAAAGTGTTTACAACTATTTTGTAGCTAGGTGCCCTACAAAAAGGTCAGGCTCAGTACCAGTCCACCTCCCCACAGGATAGTATTGCCACAGGATACTCTTTCCTACAAGTATATCAGGGACCTCAAATTTTAATCATAATGTGGAATATGTAAGAGATCGTCTCATGGACAATGTGCCCTCTTGTTTACTACTACACAAACCACATCTCTCCCATTCATAATCATACGACATCCCAGAGGCAAATGCTGCAGTTGCTCACATGGAAGAGTATAGTAGGAAAATATTTAAAATATTTGTAGTCTTTTAATGAAGGGCAGCAGCTGGAAGTGACTAGCCAGCACCATGGGACAAGCCAGCTCCTCATGGACCACAGTTCAAAACCTCTAGATAGCCGTTAGTAACTGCAGGGTGTACAGTCCTCAGCTTCAGTCAAGCCAAAGTCAAAGTCTGGAGCTGTGTGGCAGGGGAGAAGGACAAGCCAAAGTCTGGAGTTGTGTGGCAGGGGAGAAGGACAAGCCAAAGACTGACACAAAGGTAGTTCCACAACTTCCTATATGCTGGAGTTGGAGATTTGTTTAAGAAAAAAAAAGGGGCAGACATGGATGTGGTGAGGGTTTCTCATAATTTGCTGAAAGCCGATATATTCCAGGGCTCTGGAGCCAGCATCAGAACACCGTGGACATCAGCTGTTTACTCTGTGCGTCCTTGCTGAATGTGATGCACTTAAAGCAGAGCTTGAAGTAACTCGGTTAATATTCATCTACAAAGAGAACATCAGCGCCTGAAAAAAGCACTTTTCTGCCAGTGGCACATTTAATCAGTATATTTGCACACTTATTCAATACCAGAGATAGTCTGATTTATATGCTACTCTAAGGCTAATGCCACATTTATTTTAGTATCTGTAAATGCTGGCTTTTTTGACAAGAATATCCCTCACAACATTATCAATGACTATAAGACCTTATTTTGACATTTGAAAAAGCCAGGGATCACAGTGTTAAAAGTATCTAATTCGTTTTTCCAAACAAGATGAAGTATATTTGTTTATTTATTTATTTAAATAAACCGTATTGGTCCTAATTATGCACGTAAAATTACTTGATATGAATGACACGATTTACTGTAGGTTTTAAAAACAGCACGCTCTAGTTTCATCTGAGCATGTGTAAGATACAAGAAAAGATTCAGTGATACTCTTTGTGCTTAATACTTTGCAATAAGATGGCTATTTAGAACACAATAGCAACAAGACTGAATTGCCTAGAACAGATACATCCATTGCTTTCTGCAAAACTCTTGACAATTTGGGCTAAAGGGTATCATGTTATACTTATGATATTCAAGGAAAAAATAGTACAGACTGAGAGCAAGTGGTCTTAAATCCTTATGTTTCTTTTGGAACAGGAAGGGCTAGGGTTATATTTTATGACTAAATGGTTTATTCTAGGTCCCCCACAATACCATAGGGAAGACATCAACCTAATGTATGTGAACATTGGCAGAGACTCATCCAATCACATATTTGATATAAAAATTCATCTCGAAAACTTGACCTTCTCTCCGTTTCTCATGTGTGCTGTGATGTATATTCAGTAAATAAGGACTGCCTTACCCGGGTCTAATTTAGACTGTAGACTCTTCAGGGCAGGGACCACCTCTTCTCTGGTTTGTACAGCATGAAGCACACAGGAGACACTCTAAGCTGTATATGATTACAAGAGGCTTCGGGAGCATGGAGGATTAATATTCCCACAGCTCCTGTGGTTGGTGATATTTTTAAAGCTTTAATATGGTACTTCTGAACCAAAACACAAAATAATTTCTTGTTAAATTCTTTAATTTCTAGTACACTAAAACAGTCAACTGTGTAAAAGATATTGGAGAAACAGGGCCAACAACAAACACCATTACAATCTGTAAACAAAGTTTCCTATGAATCCAAAAATCGTTACTTCTAAAGTAACATCATACCAGTTTAATTTTTACCTTAAAAGGTAAATACTGAAGATGTGCTTATACTTAAAAATCCCACCATATTACAACAATTCTGCCATTGTGCATTGAATATTGTGCTACCAACACAGGAGAAAGCCAAGAGGTGCCTAACTTAAGACACTTAATTCACAGACCAAAAGTGTATCTTGTTTATCAGATAGGAGCATCTCTGTGCTTTAGCCTCATAAAAAATGAGGCAGATGTTGATGTCACCAAGAGGTTACAGACCACCTGACTACATGAGACAAAACACTGGAAGTGCACTGTCAATATCCATTAATGACTTCTCCATTGCTTCTGTGAATACACGACCAAGGTGTTATATTTATGTTTGAAAGTAGCACTGTATCTGTAAAAAGTTTGCATATAGAATGTCAGTTTCAGGACATTTAATGTAGACAGTGTCACAATACAAAAAGTAGACATTAAGACACTGTCAGCAGCTACAGAAAGGTTGGATTTTCTTTGAAGATTAATCCACTGTAAGAACCACACTTAACCTAAACTTTTGCCTTCTTTCCAGTAAACAGTGTCTTTATCCAAGTACTCTTTTTAACTAATACATATCTGTGACTCTAAGATTCAAAGCACAACCCAATAAAAGGAGTGCAATCAGTATACTGCAGTGTTTGTTTTGGGAGGGAAAAATACTAAGACAAGGGGGAAAACACTGCAAGTCTTCTTTTTTTGCCTACATACTATAACTTGTATTCTTACCATTTGTGAACCTATCTAATGGAGCTTGCCTCCAGACAACTCACTCGCTAAACACAATCCATTTTGGGGAATCGTATATAAGCGTGGTGAATAGTTTGACTTTTTTTTTTCTTGGATTATTGACAGAACACATACCCCCCCTCAAAAAAAAATCAGTTTCTGATGTGGACTCTCTACTGAGAGAAAGGTGAAGATCAAAATTAAGGCAGATATCATCCAGAACTTGAGTAGAAATTTTTCTTTTTGATCTTTATGCAGACAATCTCATCAGGGGATCTGATCAAAAAATCTTACTGAGGCAACTTACCTTAAAGTCACAATGTAACAGAAAGCTGGAATACATGTTATAAAATTAACTAACCCTATCATATGTCACAGTTTACCACACTCCAGTGGGGATATGGTACAATTATAGTCATATTATCATTTCCAAAGATAAATAGTGAATAATTATATTAGCAACCTTTACACTTCTAGTGCATAAGCCCATACACTCTCAACAGATACAAGGAATCAATGCCTTTACTTATAAATCTTCTAATGTTTATAATGTGAATCCATATTCTTTTTTTTCTTTTTTAAAGTAATTTAGGTGTTATCTGTTCTTGGTTGGAACTTTGCCTCAATGGAGAGAAAAATAATTTCTGCTGTCCAAAAACTCAACAATAAATGTAAGCAACAGAAAAAGATGCTTGTAAGTCTCAATGAAAACTAGCAATTTTACTCTCTCAGACATGGTACAACATACCCAAACCCAGCTTAATAAACAGTAGATATAGCTCAGAAATTATTGCAGTAGTATTTATATTATGCCCAATTTCCATTCAAAAAGACCACTTCAGGAAACCATTATTTTTGTGGCTGTTGCTTGCGGTTTGCTTGTGAAGCACTCCACTAAACTCCCATCTCACTCAGATTTCATAAAGCGTAAGTCCAGAACTCAGACATTACTCAGGAAGAGAACAGATGAGAGATACCTGACATCAGAAGAGACTAACTTGTTTCAGAATCTTACTGGATATTAGCCCATTATCATGGTTTGATTGAGTGAAAGGGCTCAGACCTCAAGTGGACATATTTCAGTTTTACATAAATATGAAACAAGAAACATTAAACTTACCAAAAAATGTTTTGGTAACCTTGCATGATCTGTCTACAGAACACACATATACAGGCAATAGTCCTCATTAATGTCTTTATACTTCCTCTTTTCAAGTCAAGTGTTAGTGCAGCAGCGTTAGACAACAGGCAAAAGTACACACATTTTAACAGCGACCTGTGCTTGTCACACACTACTTGCAGGACTTCTGATTCTACAGCAATGCTAAAGAAAATATTGAATTTCTCTTCATCAGTGCCATTCTGGGTCTAAGAGTTCAGAGCAGCTAAATCATGTTACATTGCAGAAAGCTTCATACTCATAAGAAAGACTGAACTATAGGTTTTGCTGACCCAACTGACTGCATCATTTCTGTAAGCTTAGTATTCAACATATATAGGATACTATAATATACTACACACACACACACACACACACTATATAGTACTATCTATACAGATAGATAGTACTATATAACATATAGGAGAAACTAAAGACTTGAAGAGATTAGTGAAAAATAATGGCTTGCACTGAGCTATAAACAAACATTCCTCTGTGTGTGTGTGTGTGTATATACACACATATATATGAGAGAAACTAAAGACTGAAGAGATTAGTGAAAAACAGAGATTAGTGAAAGACAGTGGCTTGCACAACTGAGCTACAATATACTGCATCATCATCATCAGGATTTAACTGACAAAACCTTTAAGGAAACTGTGCAACTGCAGCTACTAGACAAAATCTGTCCTACTTGTGTTGATATGCATGCACGCACACGCACACGCACACACACACACACACACACTTAACAGAATTTGATGTGTGTATATTTTGAAGGGCAACTGACCTCTATGGAGTAACACTTTCTGTAAGTGATAGTACTGTATGAATTAGAACAATAAAAGGCCTGCGTAGCTTTCTACAAAGCATACTGGGCTCAGATTTAACAGTGAAGTACGTTAGAATTTATCTTGTGGTTCATTAGTCTTGATGAGACAGCTTCTGATTACCACTGAAGAAAATTACCTTCTGTCATTGAAAACTAAGAATAAAAAGCCTACAATACTGGGTCTGTAAGAGTGCTTCATGATGCCAAACGTTACATACAGCCTAGTGAATCCTGTATGGAAGTAACAGTGATCTCTCCAAATAACTTCAATTTTTTAATGAATTCTTAGTAGAAAAGAAGTGTGACTTGCTGTTATATACACCTAACCATACTTAATTAGGATTATATTGGGCTTCAAATGTACCCTTTATTTCCAAGTCTCAGAGTTGTTCACCAGCATTATATTTATATCACAGAGAAGGTATTGTGCACTTAACATGGTAGTAGGGCATCATATCTAGAAATATGAGACTCTGTCCAAACAGGAATTCATTATTTTTCTCAGCTTCCAGTCTTCAAGGCACCTCCTGCATAAACTGACTGGGGAGTATACAAAATGGACCAAAACAAATCAGAAATTGTAGAATCGGAAGTAGCTTGGTTTCTCAGAAATACACAGTGTGAAAAGTGAGAGAAGGTTGGACCCAAAATTAACAAATGAAATTAATACAAAGATATTTTGATGAAGATGACAGGAATGTCATGAGGTTGAAGTTTTCAGCTCTATTGATTGAAGATGATTGCTTCTCACAGTGTTTTCTGATGCCCATTTGCAGAAGGCTTTGTTGTCTCAGAGTCTCTTGCATTGTTCGACAGATGAAGTTTATCTAAACCTGCATAGGTATTACACATAAGATAAAATGCAATTTTCTGCTTTTCACATATATATTTACAATGGTAAACTGCTAAACGCACATTACAGTCAAACCAAATTGTGTTTCGTTTTGTTTTCCATATTTGCTTAAGGCCAAAATCAACCTTTTTCTCTCGAAGATCCCCCTTGACATGCTATACGAACTCCAGGGCCCAGTGGGAAGGAGGAGGGCAGCTCGGGGCAGGGGCCTTGCGCACAGGCGTAGTGTGACTTCTATTTGGGGGGGGACAGGGATGAGCAGTCCAGGGAGGGAGTGCCATCTCCACCCCCGACTCACCTCAGCAGGCCACCTGCCTGTCTGGGATCGGGGGGGAGGTAATCAAAAATTGTAACTCAAGGATAGGGGGGCTTAGCTCAAAAAGTTTGAAAACAGCTTAGGGCACAGGGAGGGGGTAGCTGGGGCTGTGTGCGGGCAGGGGGTAGCTCAGGGTGCAGGGAGAGGGGTAGCTGAGGCTATGTGCAGGCAGGGGGTAGCTCGGGGTGCAGGTAGGGGGTAACTAGGGGCTGTGTGCAGGGAGGGGGTAGATCAGGGTGCAGGGAGGGGGGTAGCTCAGGCTATGTGCGGGCAGGGGGTAGCTCAGGGTGCAGGGAGGGGGTAGCTGAGGCTATGTGCGGGCAGGGGGTAGCTCAGGGTGCAGGGAGGGGGTAGCTAGGGGCTGTGTGTTGGGAGGGCTCCCCTGCAGTCCCTGTTCCCGGAGGGGTCTGCCAGCCACGGAGCCAGATTTCCCCACCAGAGTGGCTCTTTCCGGATGTCTCTGCGAGAGCAAAGGGGGCCGGGCCTCGGGAGCAGCTTCAAGCCGGGGCACCAGCAGGAGAGGAGGGAACTCTGTGGCTGCCTGCTCCATGGGACCAGCCAGAGCCACAGCTGCCCTGCACTGCCCGGTGTAATGGCAAAAATAGCAGCCAGCACCAATAGCAGTTACCTACTGAGCCTGCTCAGTACAACCTAGATAGGAAATTCTGCCAGGGAGCTGTTTGCCACTACATCAGCTCTGGCTTCTTTCCTCCGACCTGGCCAGGGAGAGGAGGGGGAGAGGTGGTGTAGATGTGCCCCCCAGGGACTGCCATGCTCTTGCGCTGCAGTTGGGGGCGGGGTAGGGGTGGCAATGCCCTCCATGTCCACAACTCTGCCCATAGGCTCAGGGCTTCTGCTCCACAGGGAGCACTAGAGCTCAGGGATTCAGCCCCGCGGAAGGTGCCGAGAGTCAGGGCTTCACCTCTGCACCTCCCAGGAGTCCCAGCTTCAGCCCCACCGGGGGAGCTAGGGATCTGGGTCTGGGTTTCAGCCACGGGGCTCCGTGGCCCCCCTTGAAAGGGCTCACGGACCTCCAGAGGGCCACAGACCCCTGGTTGAGAACCGCTGCTCTAGTTCAAACAGGAATTACTTCAGGGAGGTCCTCAAGCCTGTGTCATACAGAAAGTCAGACTACATGACACAACACTCCCCTCTGGGTTTATAATCTATGAACATTTTCAAAAACAGGAGCCTACAATTAAGCTCTTAAATCTGCACTTTAAACAATTAAGGATGGGTTTTCAGAAGTATTTAAGTGCACAAGTCCCATGGGTACTTTTAAAAATAATACCCTTAGTTAGGGTCTTTTTTTTTAATTTAATCCTAATGGCACAAAATGGATATCACAGCTCAGAACTTCCCCACTTTTGGATCCTCATTCCCTACACAAAGTCACAACTATTCCCTTAGCAATCAAAAGCAATGACATAAAATAAGATAACTCAAGGCCCTGAACGAAGTGAACTCAAAGATCCTCTTTTCATGAAAATGTCCCTATCTAATGAATAGGGAGATCAAACCAAACAGATAAACAAGAAATTAACAGCGGTGTATCACATCTATCGAGACCAACTAAGACGAAGCTTCCTGGAATACATATTCCTAGCACAAGATCTGTTGATGAATCATAGAAAGGTAGGGCTGAAAGAATCTTGAGAAGTCATCAATTCCACTCCCCTGTGCTGTGGCAGGACCAAGTAAGCCTAGACTATCCCTGACAGGTGTTCGTCCAACCTGTTTTTAAAAACCTCTAATGACGGGGATTCCACAATCTTCCTTGAAAGCCTATTCCAGAGCTTAACTACCTCTATAGTTACAAAGTTTTCCTAAGACCTAACCTATATTACCCTTGCTGCAGATCAAGACCATTACTTTTTGTCCTGCTTTCAGTGGACATGGAAAACAATTGCGCACCATTGTCTTGATAACAGTCCTTAACATATTTGAAGAGTTCTCAGATTCCCCCCTCAAGTCATCTTTTCTCAAGGCTAAACACATAGGCGCCGGCTCCATGGGTGCTCCGGGGCTGGAGAAAAATTAGCGGGTGCTCATCCTGAATTCATACTAATGAAGTCTGTATAATACATCAGATTGTCACAGATTACCTATATGTGTGTGTGCACACAAACAAAAACCATTAACAAACCAACTAGTGAAGAAGTGTTAAGATTTCAAATGTAAGCGATTACACAATCATAAAACGTGAAAGTTAAGACTGACCCAAAAAATCTTCTTTCCGTCCCTTTGTAATGCATACACATAACAATACTGGCAATAGGTTCACAGATTCTTTCTAAATTACAACACCAAAAAATATGGAGCACAAAGAAAAATTACTGACCAAGAATCCATGGTTCTTCAAACAGATTGACAGGATAGATCCACATTCTAAGGAGAGCACTTGTATTTTCTTTGCTATAGTCACAACTCTCTGGGAAGCAGTGACCACTGGAGTCTCAGGCATGCACCTTCACAGCACTGAGTGTTCAGACCCAAACTTATAAGAAATAGTAGTCTCAATCTGACTTCTGGATCTTTCAACTTAATCAAATTCCATTCAAGAGTCTGAAGAAGTAGGTACAGTTGGTGGGGAGTGTGTATCTAGGCAGTCAACCTACTCAATGCACGCTCTCTCCTTTGAATATTTACAGCACAGAGCCCCACACTTGAGAGATTAAGTAGCAGCAAAATCCGTTAAAGGAGGTGGCTCTCATGAGAGCTAGTTAAATAAAGACAGCAGAACTGTTCTTCTGAACTGATCACAAGTCATGGAAACCAAGTCAAGAGAGTTAACATACTGAAATCTGAATTCTGGGCAGCTGTCCTACATATCTCAGTGAGAGAAACATTTGAAGACATACTGCGGAAACGGTCTTGGATCTGTAGAATGTGTTTTAAGACTTTTAGATACTACCATACTTGCAAATTCTCAGCAAGCATGCATACACAATTTGATCCATTTAGACCAGCTGAGTAGAAATTGTATCCCCATTAGGCTTGTCTTCAACAGACTTATGTAAAGGTTTAATTATCTGTATATAGTAGCTAAAAGCTACTAAGCTATGCAGTCTAACATTTCCTGATAGTAAGCGAAGCTTAGGAAAGAACATTCCTGGGAAGTTAAAAAACTGTTTTAGGTAGAAGTCAGAAGTCAACTTTAGTTAGGAATGTAGGTTGTGGGCACAGCACTATTATATTCTTTTGGGAAGAGCCTAGGATTCATAGCCCTCCATCTGCGAGAGTACAAAGGGATAGAGAAGGGGGTCAGTACAACTGCACCTTATATGACCATAGGGCTGAATGTTCCTTTCTGTGAGGCAGCATGTGAATACCACCCAACTAATTTTGAGAAGGATATGACTTGGGATTGTGCATGCCAGGAACTCCACAGAGTATGGTTCCATCCTGGCAATATGCTGAAAACTGAAGATATAATAATATACAAGAGGGCAGAGTTAAGGTTGTGTGCTCAATCTTAGTTTGCACATTTCCTCAGAAGATTGCTTAACTCTGTAACCTTAACTCTGTTAAAGAAATAAAACAAATGGAAATTCTACAAGTTATGTTAATGATTGATCCCTAGGATTCAGACCTTTTTATCTTTATGATAAACTCTTTAAACAAACAAAAAGGATTGCTAAGGTCATTGATCAATAGCTTCTGATTTTTCTTTTTATTTGTTAATGTTAAGATTATTTTTCTGAAATTATAAATAAAAGATGAAAATATTACTGATACAGAATTCAATTCCCTTCTGGCAGAGACCAAGCTTGGAACACTTCAGCCTAAAACGTGATTTTTTTAATAAGTTATGAGTGAATGAAGAAAGATATTACAACAAACTTTTTTTGCAGCCGTAACTATAACTGGGTGTAACTGAGCACCTGCTCTAAAGTACATGCATTCACAAACACCCTGAGGTACAGCAGTAATGAAGATAATTCAAACATTAGCCAGAAGGTAGAGTGTGGTGCAGGGGTTGGGGGAAAATGTTTAAGTGAGAAAAATAGCACTTTTGCAATGGCACATAGGTTCTGTTACAACTCAACCTGTCTACATGCACACCCCTTATGGTTAGCTTAAAAGCAAGAATTGGCTGAAATACATTTGTAGTGACTTGGGAAACATTATGATGGAAAAAAGATGTAGATGTTAAAATAAAGGGCAAATGCCTTTACCATATTACCTAATGCTTTGAAGAGCTCTTCTCGCACAGCAGAGGTGAACTTTCTGACCAGACATAGAGTTGTCATGATAGCAAACAGCAAATTGTAAGATAACACAATGTAGAAATTTCCCAGCCAGTTAAACCTTCCAAAGTCTCCAAGCAGATCAAATCTGGTAATTCCTGTTAAAATTACATTTTTGAACACTTAAAAAGAGATAAGATTAAAAAACATTCTTGAAAACATTTTTGAATTACTATAAAAATACAGGAGATTGACATATGTAACTCTAGTACTTGGTGCTGTATTAAAGAAAAATACACTAAAATCCCTATGATTGATAGATGGATGTACAGTCAATAATGCAAAACAAACATTTTTCGAAGGTCATTTGCGTCGCTTCTTTGGCTACCATAGAGTTGGTAGCCATAGTATAACATTTGTTGGTTGATCAAAATACCTTAGGTGGCTCAGATGAAAGGCTCATTAACGTGTGTCTTGAAATAACAATGTTATAAATTCAAGACAAATAAGTCCTTCCCCAATTTCAATAAATATAATTGTGAAAATTAACTATCTTAAACCAATCATCATAAAAACCATTTGTTTAAGATGCCAGGCTTCCATAAAATCCTTACTTATATCAAAAAATGATGGAAAGCATTGTGTGCCTTTCACAAAAGACAACACTAATTTACATTTAACTGCTTTACACACACACACACACACACACACACACAATTTAGTTCTGAAACTTGTTGCTTTTCCATGACATGAGAATGTTTAGCATTACTTATTCAAAAAATTATATGCAATGTAAGAAACAACAGAATAGCACATCACTACAAAAGTATAGTTTTGCCTGCATTAACTGTAAATTACATTATTTTTCTGTATATTGATTTTTATTACACTGCTTTTGGAGATATCTGTTTGTAGCAGTAAGTGCCCTGCCAAGAGAGGCACAAAACCACACGGTACAGTAAACATTAGGGCTGCATACATGCTTTGCGGATCCACTGTTTTGAAATCAAGTATTCAAAGACTTCCTCTCCTAGTGCAATTCCTCTCCTAGTGCCAGTGCTGCAGTCAGATAGGAGTCACACAGGAGGAGGAAATGAGCAAAGTTCACAATCCTGACAGTTCCCAGGTAGACCTCAGGCTCCAACTCACATGTCAGGGTAGCAAACTCTTGGGCTATCAAGCTCCAAGTGCCTACTGACGAAGCAGAAAAGGCAACAGGAAGCTTTTCAAACCCATGTTGTGTCAGGTCTAACACAAGTCAGCTTCAAGAGAGCAGTCTGTGCCAAAAAAGACCACATCGAGACAGACTGCATAGATATAAAGGTGCAGGGTGTTGAGCCAATGCCCAAAACAATCTCCCCCTTGGACCCACTCCAAGGAGTCCTCCTGTGGTAACTTATCCTCAGAACTCAGTCTTACCTCTGAATAAGGTGAAGGGAAAGAGTTTTCACTGGCCTCAACATCAAAATGGGGAAAAAACAAGCTCCAGACACCAAGCTTCCTTTGAAAACACAACCTTCAGATCTGAGATTCTTGGGAGCAGGTTTTGAACAGCAGCTCGATTCCAAAAAGATTACAGACTTGGAAAGACTGTGCTGTTCAGGCTTGGGTATACTAACCTGCAGTGCTTTGTGCAGTGATAAGTGATGACACTTCAACTCCATCTCCTTCCAAGGTCACGGGGAAAGAGCTGCACAAGCAGCCATGCACCTCATTGTACAGAGACCCTGGCCCAAAGCTGCACAAGCCATGTACCTCATTGTACAGTGACCCTGGCCCACAGACTCTAGGCTGGTCAATGTCACATCATGGCATTAAAAAACGTGCACTACTTGAACCTCTTCAGCAGCCATCTTATCTAGCCTGAAGAGGAGCAGCTAACGACTGGGATCAACTGGAGTATTTAAGGAGAACACAAAGGGTACAAGATCACAAGAAAGAAAGAAATTATAGAGCAAAAAGGAGGGGACTAAGGAAAGAGCCCTAAGGGGTAATGGAGAAAGGACTGAAGTTGCCCAAGACAACGAAAAGGAAAGGGCAAAGAGACAGGTGAACAAAGAGTACAGATTCATAAGCACACAAGGAGAAGAAATTGGCTGACAGTCAAAATCAGCAAGCAGATCAAGAAAGATAAATACAGAGAAGATGCTTTTAGACTTGACCATGAAGTTGAGATTGACCTTAAACACAGTTTCAATGGAATGGAGAGGGTGGAAGTCAGACTGCAGGGCATACAAGAGGATTTGAGTGAGAAACTCAAGGCAGGGAACAAGGCACACTCCAGCAGCCTGAAGTAAGAGGTGGGAAAAAGAGCTGGTGCATTAGCTGGATATTTAAGTGGGGTCAAAGAAGGGTTTTTTTGCAAAATACAAGAGTGACTCTCAAAGAGGAAGGGACTGCAAGGAGGGTTGGTCTTGAAAGGAGAAGGCATCACTGGAAGACAAATCAGAGGGACAGAGGGCCATGTCTCAATGACAGCAGGTGAAAGAAAGTGATTATAACCTATATTTCTTGACAATCTTTAATAAAAATATATTTTAATATGCTTATCTGGAAAATCAGCCTTTATGCAAGTTGATTTTTTTTATTGCCGTATCTGTGTTAAAAAACATGTATACAGCCTTTCAGGGGGAAAAACATTCAATGAGACTACACTATAAAAGAGTCTACTGTAGTACCATAAGTATAAACCTATAAAGTATTAGTGACAAAATATTCTATGGAGATTTTAAAATTCAGAATATATTTTTAAAAACTTAAGAACTCTAAAAATACAGCATTAAGTAAACACACAACTTCAGTTTTAATTTCAAATCAATATTTATGATAAAATCCTAGAGAAAAAGAAAGCTGGAAAACCCTAATTTTATAATGTAAAACTCAATTTTGTTTGTAGCTCTAAAATCCTAGCTTATCAACTATTCTGCTCCCTAGTTCATTTCACAATGGTAAATGATATGGTGCTGACAGTCAAGCACTTGCCAATCAGGAGCAGTAAAAGAAAGGCTGAAAAGGCCTGAAAAACTAGGTTTTTCATTTTTACTTTTTGTTGCTAAAAATACCCCCAACTCCTTGAATATGGCAGTAAAGAGTTGACAGAAACCTTAGTTAGAATGCTAAAATACATGTAACAATTCTCCATACTTCATCTTAAATTCAAAGACTGGATTAAAAAAAGTTAATACGTGAAATACTTGATAACTTTCCCCAGTTTGCCTTTCCCATAATGCTGAAATCCTGCTTTTTCTTTATAGTCTAGAAACTTGTTTTTTTAATACTGTGAAAAGACTATGAATCTGTTTAACGTATTTATTTCTTTTCATCTATTCAGTGCTACTGGGCGTAACATGTAATGCAATGCATGTTGATATTTTGCAAAGCGCCACATGACTCACTGTACTCTAACACACTCTATTAATCCTGTTTGGACAGCTGTGTCTGTGCATTTGTTAGCTGTGTTTTAATTGTTCCATTTTTTTTTATTTATCTCTATGGCAAACTATCCAGGAATGTCATTTGTTAAGTTTTTTTTTTTTTTAAAGAGTTTTGCCATTAATTTGTTCTCTATGTAACAACTGCTCCCTGCATGTACACTTTCCTCAATACAATTATCTTGTATTAAAACCAACTGTTCATCTTAATTACAGTACATAACCAACGATTTTGACAAACGAAAATGGTAAATGCCATAAAAATTAGTAGCACAATACAAATGCCATAATTCTATTTTTAAACATCGCTATTTGAACACTGTGTGTTGGTCTTGATGTTAAAAAGTGGTTTCATTTCTCAGATCTTTATCATATTTGCTCTTGATTTTAAGATTGGAAATCTTTAAATATTAGACT